CAACAGACAAAAAAAGAATATCAAGAAGCAAGAATTTTACAATTGAGGAAGAAAATTTAATCAAATCCTTGGTTGAACAACATAGTCTCATTATAAATTCAAAATTGTCATATGAAGTTACAAATCGTAAAAAAAGTGAAATATGGGAAAATATTACACAAAAAGTAAATTTTCAAGGTGTTGCCTCACGAAGTATAAAAGAGGTCAAAGACAAATGGGGCAACATGGCACAAAAGGCTAAAAAGGTTTTTACGTCCTACAGGACCAGTCAACACAAGACAGGTGGGGAACCCCCACCAAATGATATAAGCCAGGCAACAACCAACATAATTGACATCATGAAGGACACTGCCAGTTTACTAGGCCTAGTAAGTTAAGCTGAAGTTACTTGTAAATCTATTATATCGATGAAATTATCTTCACCCCCCAGTACTGAAAGTTTGTTTATATTCTGAGTCCACGATACGAAGACTGGGCCAACAAAAAACTTAGCGAGGAAAGGGGAATTCTTATTTTATGTCAAAATGTACCGGTACTCCAAATCCCATTATTCACTATTCCGACAGTTACTTTTCGGGCTTGATAACGACCAGTGAAATCTTGCCAAAACGCCGAGTGTCTATAATATAGTGATTATTATACATTGAATTGTTTTGCGTTATATGTTCAATCGATAAATGCCATTCAAAGAGAATATAAACTTACGGAAACAAAATGATAACTAATCTGCAGACGACCTATAAGAAGTGACGTTCAATAACAAACTAAGTCCCTACCATCCATAGACATAGTCAATGCTACCATCCAATGATCGAATTTAGTTAATTATGATAGAGTTATCCCTACTACACTTAATGTCAAAACATGTAAATTAAAAAAAAAAAAAAAAATTCACTATAGTCACAATATTTTACCCCCCCCCCCCAAACAAAAAAAATGTGCTACGGTATAAATTATATGACAAATAATAAATAATATAGGCTATATACACAGTGTATAATAATAATGCTCTTTAATAATTGATTTAACATCCCATATCATCAACACTAGAATATTGCTGCATGAATTGAAGTCTCTTATTAATATAGTATGCTACAAGATTGCTAGCATAATATTTTCGAGTTAGCTTAGTAGTTTAGGAATATGTTACAATACCTTCGTGATCGCACACTGGCTGAACATTTATACTGTCCCAGCCTTTCCTGTTTACATAGGATGCTTCATCAACCTGTCGGCGCTTAAATCCGCACATGAGACCCATCGATACAGCCGATTGCATTTGGAAAACCGCCTAATCTATAAAAAAAAACCGCTTCACTTTCTACTTCTTCATCACCAATCAGCCATTTAATAAATTGTCTTCTCTTTTCTACTACAGCCTTGCAAACTGTGCTCTTATCAACACCTACAGTGTCACCTACTACTTGTAAAAAAACTGCCACTTGCTAGCTAAGAAACGCAAGGTGATGAAGCACTCCCTTTTCAGCGGAAAGTGCATGGCCTCTCTATGTTGGTCTTTCTAAATTTGCCCTCAGCAAGTTAACGATGAAATCAATCGAGTCTTGCCTGAACCTGTAACGCTAATGTAAACTATTTTCATCAAATTCTGACTGCCTTTCTCTGTACTCTCTATATGTCGTATATCCAAATTAATATGATTAATAAATGCAGCATTCGGTTGTATCACAAAGTCCATCACGACCCCAGTGTATACTTTTACTGACAGCCGACTAATACCATCGTTAAACAGATAACGGGGCCCAACACCTCCGTTAAATATAACGGCAAGTTAACGACACGTTAAAGATAACGGGGCTTCCAGCAACAACCTTTCTCTCCGTTAAAGTTAACGATCCGTTAAAAGTAAATGGAGCTTTAAGCAACCGGACCCGGAGCACTTGTCTGTGTTTGGTTATTAATCAAACATATTATGGTATATTGAATATTTATTTAAGAAATTTAACTTGTATATTGGCGCGACTTTGAACTTTCGTTTACCACATATGTTTAAATGGCTACTAAGATTTGGATGGAAAAATCTGTATTTTAATTACATTTACATATTTGCCAAGATCTTTCGGACTTGCAGCGTCTTCAGGGCTATGTACAAAAGACAATAACGTCGCTTAGTTACATAATAGCGCGACGTCAATAAGGGGAGATAACTCCAGTATGCCCTAATCAAAGGGGTAATTTTATAACCAAAATAATGTTCATTTCAATCGCCGGTTCAATTTAGGAGAAAATAGCTCTTATCAGTCTATTCTCTTTGGCTTCCAATATTTGTTCATTTATGAAATTTAACTTATATATTGGCGCGACTTTGAACTTTCCTTTACCACATGTGTCTAGATGGCTACTTGGTGGAATTGTCCTGTTTTCTGGGTGGAGTATCTGAGACCTGTGTAGATTCATTCGAACGTTTAATTGTGGGTTACTTTTGCCAATATAGTATCCACCGCATCCCGAGCAACGTAACTAGTAAACAACATGCTTAGTTTTGCAGTTCATGTTTTGTTTAACACTAAATACTCTGTTTTGGCATGGAGAATGTTGAAATTTCCATGATGTCATTACATAATCCACACCGTTTATCGACATATTTTGATACGCGTTAATTTTCCGTAATTTCATTCATATCAAACCGAGAAGATGTCAATATTTTCCGAAGATTTGCTGGTTGTTTGTAGCTGCTAATTGTTCATATCGATGATGTTCATTGGTCTGTTGTGGTGTGGATTGAATGTAGTAACTAATGTCATGATGTTGTCATTTTTCTCCTTCGGTTTTGGGATTCGTAAAGTTTCCTGGTCTAATTTTAAGGCTGTCTGTATCGCATTGTCGATCAGCTTTACGGGATAGTCTCGTTTTATAAGAAATTATTTCAATTCGCCAAGTCTTTGTTGTTTCCACGCTTCATTCGATACAATTGTACGGAAAGTTACATTTCATTTTTGCAGGATGACTTGATCTGAAGTTTAGATATTGATGCGTATCCGTTTTCTTATAAATTAATATAAAACAAGTCCGTTTCTATTTCACCAGTATCCGATAAATGTTGGAAACTGGGAAATATTCCACAAAATACAGTAGCCTACCTACAAGTATGGAAATTACATGTATGAAAAATATACGGTAATACAAAATCATTTTAATTATACACATTACAATAGTTGTTGAAACATATAAAACAGTAATGAATTAACATTTGAGATATAATTAAGAGATTACAGCCGATAATTTATAAAGTCAACGAAGGTTGCTAAGCACTGATCGCGACTACCGGAAGTATCGTGCGAAAAGGTAAACAACAACGACCGCGCCCATGATATCGGCAAAAAATTGTAATTCGGAACTAAAATTAGGTGTCGGGCCGTTAATATGTTACCGAATGAGAGGAAAATATGACATCTAGGTAATCGGGATGTCAGAACATTAATGAATATAAAATATACTACAAAATAACAGGCATTGGCTTAGATAAAGACAGTAATCGCAGGTTGATTTACAAGTCAACATAACGAAAGAGTAACTCAACACGTGACTATGGAAAATGGTGAAGCCGGTCGTCACATATATACCTGTAATGTCAACAGCTAGTCTGACCAAAGCTAAACGTACTTCTGTAACTTCAATGTCACTGATGCCGGAAAGAAAGATTACTAAAATCAACCATCTGTTGTTATTTTGGATCCCACTCAACTCGTTTTCTAATTCAGCAATTGACATGTCATCGATCATAATTAAACAGTAGGTATTTTCAATCGAGTTTTCGGTCCTTTTCTTTCCTAGCATCTTCAATACGTGTTGAGAAATTCCTGGCTTATTGTCGATGACCCAGCATCCTAGCACTGCCGGCGAGACATGGAAAACACGCGCAGTGGGGACGAGAGTATTCGTGTCCTTTCTCCATTCCAACAACAGTAATCCTTTCAGTACTATGGCTTTATATTAAGGCGCTCCTTGTCCGTGGCAGTTCCACCAAGGCCTTAATAGTCAATCGCCATTTCTCCCTGAACCGGTAATGTGCGCTAGGAATAAAAATACGGTAGTTTGGGCCTTAAAGCGTATAAAGGGGCATAACTCCATTGGGCATATCGCAACCCATTAGCTAATAACCAACCAATGCCGTATTCACCAAGGCCAATAAAGTTATTTATTAGGTTTCCGCAACTGCGAATATGATTATTCTATGTATTAAAATAAGTATGTACAATTCATTTGGAAACAGTATTAAAAGCATAAACGTATAAATGTCCGACGTGGTGGGAGATAGCGTTACGCACACTTGAGCATAATGGCGCCGCAACTCCTTAAAGCGGCGAATAGTAGAAGCGGCGAATAGTAGAAGCCGTTAAACGCTGAGCAACTTTAAACCAAATAATTGCATTAGCATTAAAAGTATTTCATAAAGAAAAAAAATTGTAATATTAGGATTATATTCACATTTTTCATTTTTTTTTTTTTTTTTGATTTTTAAACCAAATTAATTCATTAAAAATACTCTGAAGAAAGAAAGGTCAGTTTTAGACAATATGGTGTCAATTAAATTGTTTTGACCTTTTACATTTGAACTTTGACACACGACCAACAAAGTTCCCTGATCAGAGGCCATGACCTCTGTGACAGGTCAAATCTTGGGGCCATGAACGTGCACTACCCTTGTCATGACCTGACCTAGGTCCTGGGGTCAGTTCATGACACGGACATGTCACGGTCATATTTTTAGTATATAGTCTTATCTAAGGTCAGAGTTTGACATTGACTTGACCCCTAAAATGGAGACAGAAACAATGCTAGCTATTCAAAACGAAAATACCAGCCTTTCCTACGACGAGGAAATCCTGGAAAAATCTGGATACAGACTGTCTTCATTTTTGGGTGAAGGAGCCTGTGGTAAAATTTACTCATGCGAGAAGATTGCTGATTCAACCAAACTGGCTGTAAAAATTATTCAAAAGACCTCCGCAATTCAAGGCGGTGAGAATTTGAATAAATTTTTACAAAGAGAAATATCAGTGATGAAATCTTTAAATCATGTGAACATGGTGAATCTTCACCAAGTCGTGGAATCAAATGACAAGTTTTACTTGATTGTGGATTTAGCTGATCAAGGTGATCTTCTAGATTTTGTTGGTCTTCACGGCTCCCTTAATACCGAGAAAACCAAGAAAATCTTCAGACAAATTGTCGATGCAGTTTCTTACTGTCATCAACAAAATGTCGCTCACCGAGATTTGAAGCTTGAAAATATCCTCATGGCCAAAGGTCAAGTCAAGTTGGCTGATTTTGGATTCAGTCGACAAATGACAAGCACAGACTTTTACAGTCAGACATTTTGTGGTAGTGTAGCCTACACTGCACCAGAAGTCTTACAAGGTAAAAAGTATAACCCATTTCAATCAGATATCTGGAGTATGGGTATCATTTTGTATGCCATGTTGTTTGGTCGACTACCATTCGACGATACAAATGTCACTAAAATGGTTCGAATGCAGTTGAAGCAATCGATACCTTTTCCTGCCGACACTGATAGTGAGATCAAGCATCTGATTGGTCAGATGTTGGAACCCGAGGCCAAAGATCGGATGACCCTGAAACAAATCCAGGAATCTGATTGGCTGCAAGGTTAAATAAAATACCAGGAAATATCCGGTGGATAAATTCTGGTATCTAATCATCCTAACTTACTTCTATAATCATAATAATAAATCATCTTAACCCTGACCTAACAGTTCAAAGGTCGCATTCTATTTATCAACCTTTGACCTTTGTCTACAAAGGTCACGTCATGATGATCTCTGACTACTGTCTATTACAAACAGTAGGCCTAGGAATTATGGAACTATGGTCTCCAATCTTTTTTTCGGGGAGGACAGCTTGCCCCCGGATTTATTCCAGGTTCATCCGATTTATACTTTCTTGCTGATCTCACTATCAGTGTCGGCAGGAAAGGGCTCTCTTCCCCCGAACGAAGGGGGTTACGGATAATAGAACGACTATGCTGTTCCTGTCAGGCCTCGTGTCTTACCACACCGGGATCCAACACGGCGCCTCCGGGTTAGCGAGTCACTGCCTTACTCACCGAACCACCGCGGCGAGTAGAAGCTGCCCTGGTCACCGCCCCACCCCCATATCCTACTAATGATTATAGAAGTAAGTTAGGATGATTAGATACCAGAATGTATCTACCGGATAGATTTATGGATTTATTCCAGGTTCATCCATGATGGGGAGCCATGATGTGACCTTTGTAGATAAAGGTCAAAGGTTGATAAATAGAATGTGACCTTTGAACTGTTAGGTCAAGGGTTAAGATGATTTATTATTATGATTATAGAAGTAAGTTAGGATGATTAGATACCAGAATTTATCCACCGGATATTTCCTGGTATTTTATTTAACCTTGCAGCCAATCAGACTCCTTGATTTGTTCCAGGGTCATCTGATCTTTGGCCTCGGGTTCCAATATCTGACCAATCAGATGCTTGATCTCACTATCAGTGTCGGCAGGAAAGGGCTCTCTTCCCCCGAACGAAGGGGTTACGGATAATAGAACGACTATGCTGTTCCTGTCAGGCCTCGTGTTTTACCACACCGGGATCCAACACGGCGCCTCCAGGTTAGCGAGTCACTGCCTTACTCACCGAGCCACAGCGGCGAGTAGAAGCTGCCCTGGTCACCGCCCCACCCCCGTATCCTGCTAATGATTTTACTTTCTTGCTGTCCCCAGTACTACTACTGACAGGAGGGACGACGCCGGAAAACCCGACGGAATGTATCGGCCTACACCGGGATCCAACACGGGACCTCCAGGTTAGTGAGCCAGGCAGTGCCTTACTCACCGAGCCACCGCGGCTCCACACGAGACAAGGTCAAAGGTTGATAAATAGAACGCGACCTTTGAACTGTTAGGTCAAGGGTTAAGATGATTTATTATTATGATTATAGAGAGAATTGATTGATTATTATTATAGAAGTAAGTTAGGATGATTAGATACCAGAATTTATCCACCGGATATTTCCTGGTATTTTATTTAACCTTGCAGCCAATCAGATTCCTGGATTTGTTCCAGGGTCATCCGATCTTTGGCCTCGGGTTCCAACATCTGACCAATCAGATGCTTGATCTCACTATCAGTGTCGGCAGGAAAAGGTATCGATTGCTTCAACTGCATTCGAACCATTTTAGTGACATTTGTATCGTCGAATGGTAGTCGACCAAACAACATGGCATACAAAATGATACCCATACTCCAGATATCTGATTGAAATGGGTTATACTTTTTACCTTGTAAGACTTCTGGTGCAGTGTAGGCTACACTACCACAAAATGTCTGACTGTAAAAATCTGTGCTTGTCATTTGTCGACTGAATCCAAAATCAGCCAACTTGACTTGACCTTTGGCCATGAGGATATTTTCAAGCTTCAAATCTCGGTGAGCGACATTTTGTTGATGACAGTAAGAAACTGCATCGACAATTTGTCTGAAGATTTTCTTGGTTTTCTCGGTATTAAGGGAGCCGTGAAGACCAACAAAATCTAGAAGATCACCTTGATCAGCTAAATCCACAATCAAGTAAAACTTGTCATTTGATTCCACGACTTGGTGAAGATTCACCATGTTCACATGATTTAAAGATTTCATCACTGATATTTCTCTTTGTAAAAATTTATTCAAATTCTCACCGCCTTGAATTGCGGAGGTCTTTTGAATAATTTTTACAGCCAGTTTGGTTGAATCAGCAATCTTCTCGCATGAGTAAATTTTACCACAGGCTCCTTCACCCAAAAATGAAGACAGTCTGTATCCAGATTTTTCCAGGATTTCCTCGTCGTAGGAAAGGCTGGTATTTTCGTTTTGAATAGCTAGCATTGTTTCTGTCTCCATTTTAGGGGTCAAGTAAATGTCAAACTCTGACCTTAGATAAGACTATATACTAAAAATATGACCGTGACATGTCCGTGTCATGACCTAACCCCATGACCAGGTCAGGTCATGACAAGGGTAGGGCACGTTCATGACCTAAAGATTTGACCTGACACCGAGGTCATGGCCTTTGATCATGAACTTTGTTGACCCGTGGGTCAAAGTTCAAATGTAAAAGGCCAAACAAAAAGTCAGAGGTTAAAGGTTACAGTTCAAAGGTAACATAGTTAAGATGTACAGGTCAAGAGGTTAAAGGTCATTAACTCCGATAAGTGAACTTTAGTGGGTCAGAGGTTAAAGGTTAGAGCGTGCATGTTAAAGGCGTGAACGCATATTGTCGAAAGGTTAAAGGTCAAAAATCTAATTGACCTTACAAGAGTTGTATAACATGCATCAATACCTTGACTATGTTCGATAATATTTTGCTTAGGATAAGCAAATTCATTGTTGGGTTCTTTGGTTGAATACCCTATCAAAATATGCGGGAAGGCCTTGATAAGATGTACGGAGTTAAAGCGAGATCAAGCCGGAGGACCCGGAGAAAACCTCGAACTTCCTGGTTGGTTACAATTTAAGTGACACCATATTGTCTAAAACTGACCTTTTTTTTTTTAAAGTATTTTTAATGAATCAATTTGGTTTAAAAAAAAAATGAAAAATGTGAATATAATCCTAATATCACAACTTTTTTTCTTTCGAAATACTTTTAATGCCAATGCAATTATTTGGTTTAAAGTTGCTCAGTGTTTAACGGCTTCTACTATTCGCCGCTTTAAGGAGTTGCGGCACCATTATGCTCAGGTGTGCGTAACGCGTCGTCATTAAAATTTGACTCTAGATAGACAATGCTATCTCCCACCACGTCGGACATCGAACGTTTATACTTTTAATACTGTTTCACAATGAATTGTACATACTTATTTTAATACATAGAATAATCATATTCGCAGTTGCGGAAACCTAATAAATAACTTTATTGGCCTTGGTAAATACGGCGTTAGTTGGTTATTAGCTAATGGGTTGCGATATGCCGAATGGAGTTATGCCCCTTTATACGCTTTAAGGCCCAAACTACCGTACTTATTCCTAGCGCACGGGAGAAATGGCGATTGACTATTAAGGCCTTGGTGGAACTGCCACGGACAAGGAGCGCCTTAATATAAAGCCATAGTACTGAAAGGATTGCTGTCGTTGGAATGGAGAAAGGACACGAATACTCCCCTCCCCACTCCGCGTATGGTAACACAGATCTCCGTATTTTCCGTAACGTCTAGTCGACAGTGCTAGGACTAGGATGCTGGGTAGCTTAAAATATATTTTCAATATATTTATCTGTTTGCAGTTTACATACACTGTAGAGAAGGATATCATACACGTGGTCGGTGGACTAATTATTCGTGACCCGCGATTGGTGTATCATTTATGGCCTTAATTTGGGTATTTCTATTTCAGATGGTTGAGTAGCATCGACAGTAAGCCAGGAATTTCTCGGCAAGTACTGAAGATGCTAGGAAAGAAAAGAACCGAAAACCCGATTGAATATACCTGTACTGTTTAATTATGATCGATGACATGTCAATTAGAAAAAGAGTTGAGTGGAATCCAAAAGAACACCAGATGGTTGGATTTATTAATTGAGGTTCCGGCATAATTGACAGTGATGTTACAGAAGCACGTTTAGCTTTGGCCATACTAGCTGCTGGCATTACACGTATATATGTGACGACCGGCTTTTCCATTTTCCAGTTACGTGTTGAGTTACTCTTTCGTTATTTATATGTAGACTTGTAAAACAATCTGCGATTACTGTCTTTATCTAAGCCAATGCCTGTTATTTTGTAGTATACTTTATATTCATTAATGTTCTGACATCACGATTATTTCTATATCATAATAAATCAATTCTCTCCAACATCTTTAACCCTTGACCTAACAGTTCGAGGGTCACAAAGGTATAGCATCGTACGTAATAACCTTTGACCTTTACCGGCGCTAGAGATTCCGTGTTGGATCCGAATGTGGACGCTAAGGATTATTGGGATTTCTCTAGTCGTTCGGGCCTTTGGCACCGGTGGTAAATTAGATTTTTGAATTTTATCCTCAGAACAAAGTTATGACGTCATAATTGACCTTTAAATCGGCGCTAGAGATTCCGTGTTGGATCCGAATGTGGACGCTAAGGATTATTGGGATTTCTCTAGTCGTTCGGGCCTTTAGCAGCGGCGGTGAATTAAATTTTTCAATTTTATTCTCATAACAAAGTTATGACGTCATAATTGTGTCAATCTTCATTAAAGAAAACATTTCGAATGCAAACGCGTTTCCCAGCCCAGAAAATCGTTCTCTAGTGACTGTGCCATTGAGAAAGTCAGTACAACATATATGGCAGATAGATGTCAGAAAATAACCAATAATGTATAACAACCTCCCCAAATCAATACTCCACAGGGGGTGGGGCGGTGACCAGGGCAGCGTGTTTGGAACATGTTTTTAAATATTGTTAATCAATGTTGGGAACCATTTTAAATAACAAGTACAAGCGTACTATGCCAGAGAATATGGTGCATAGAGTTCACCCTCATTCGGGTACATATAGTTTTAAAATACAGGTATTGTTACCTACATTTACACCTATCAATCTGTAAAGACAGAATTCGAAAGGTTTTCTTTAATGAAGACGGACACAGTTATGCCGTCATAACTTTGTTCTGAGGATAAAATTTAAAAATCTAATTCACCACATCGATGCATAATTGTTCAAAGAAGAAGCGTTCCAATTTTCATGTCGAACAATTCTGCATCGATGTGGTGAAATAGATTTTTGAATTTTATCCAGGTCCAAAAATTACGATTAAACTTGCTTTCATCAAGCCGGTGTTTGACTATCATTCTTCAGTCCCACGGACTGTCCCTCCCCCCCCCCCTCCCCTTGCCCTCGGCTGGGTACGGGGGAGTTTAAAAGTGAAAGAGTCGCAGTGACTCAGAGGGTAGGGCGCTGGGTAGAGAACGACTATAGATGTTGTTCCTGTCAGGCCTCCTGTCTTACCACACCGGGATACAACGCGAGGGCCTCCAGGTTAGCGAGTCGTTGATTGGATACCAAAATTTATCTACCGAATAGATTCCTGGATTTATTCCAGGGTCATCCGACTTTTACTTTCTTGCTGTCCTTGTGAGGCCCTAGTCCTACTACTGACAAGAGGAACTACGCAGGAAATACCCGAGTGAATGTATCGGCCTACACCGGGATCCGACACGGGACCTGCAGGTTAGCGAGTCCGTGCCTTACTCGGATCCCACTCGGTTTGCCGAATGACTCGGATCCAACACGGATTCTCTAGCGCCGGTAAAGTTCAAAGGTTATTACGTACAATGCTATACTGTTGTGACCTTTGAACTGTTAGGTTAAGGGTTAAATAGAATGCCACCTTTGAACTGTTAGGTCAAGGGTTAAGATGATTTATTATTATGATTATAGAAGTAAGTTAGGATGATTAGATACCAGAATTTATCCACCGGATATTTCCTGGTATTTTATTTAACCTTGCAGCCAATCAGATTCCTGGATTTGTTCCAGGGTCATCCGATCTTTGGCCTCGGGTTCCAACATCTGACCAATCAGATGCTTGATCTCACTATCAGTGTCGGCAGGAAAAGGTATCGATTGCTTCAACTGCATTCGAACCATTTTAGTGACATTTGTATCGTCGAATGGTAGTCGACCAAACAACATGGCATACAAAATGATACCCATACTCCAGATATCTGATTGAAATGGGTTATACTTTTTACCTTGTAAGACTTCTGGTGCAGTGTAGGCTACACTACCACAAAATGTCTGACTGTAAAAGTCTGTGCTTGTCATTTGTCGACTGAATCCAAAATCAGCCAACTTGACTTGACCTTTGGCCATGAGGATATTTTCAAGCTTCAAATCTCGGTGAGCGACATTTTGTTGATGACAGTAAGAAACTGCATCGACAATTTGTCTGAAGATTTTCTTGGTTTTCTCGGTATTAAGGGAGCCGTGAAGACCAACAAAATCTAGAAGATCACCTTGATCAGCTAAATCCACAATCAAGTAAAACTTGTCATTTGATTCCACGACTTGGTGAAGATTCACCATGTTCACGTGATTTAAAGATTTCATCACTGATATTTCTCTTTGTAAAAATTTATTCAAATTCTCACCGCCTTGAATTGCGGAGGTCTTTTGAATAATTTTTACAGCCAGTTTGGTTGAATCAGCAATCTTCTCGCATGAGTAAATTTTACCACAGGCTCCTTCACCCAAAAATGAAGACAGTCTGTATCCAGATTTTTCCAGGATTTCCTCGTCGTAGGAAAGGCTGGTATTTTCGTTTTGAATAGCTAGCATTGTTTCTGTCTCCATTTTAGGGGTCAAGTAAATGTCAAACTCTGACCTTAGATAAGACTATATACTAAAAATATGACCGTGACATGTCCGTGTCATGACCTAAACCCATGACCAGGTCAGGTCATGACAAGGGTAGGGCATGTTCATGACCCAAAGATTTGACCTGTCACCGAGGTCATGACCTTTGATCACGGAACTGTGTTGACCCGTGTGTCAAAGTTCAAATGTAAAAGGCCAACACAAAAGGTCAGAGGTTAAAGGTTACAGTTCAAAGGTAACATAGTTTAGATGTTACAGGTCAAGAGGTTAAAGGTCATGAACTCCGATAAGTGAACTTTAGTGACTCGTGTTGGTTCAGAGGTTAAAGGTTAGAGCGTGCATGTTAAAGTCGTGAACGCATATTGTCCAAGGTTAAAGGTCAAAAATCTAATTGACCTTACCAGAGTTGTATAACATGCATCAATACCTTGACTATGTTCGATAATATTTTGCTTAGGATAAGCAAATTGATTGTTGGGTTCTTTGCACAGACAGAAATCGAAAGACTTTCTTTAATGAAGACTGGCACAGTTATGACGTCATAACTTTGTTCTGCGGATACAATTCTGTGAGTGGGACGTTGACTCGCGAAGGCGGTCATCGAACTTTCTGGTGTGGTTCCACCTTGTGAGTTGTACAGGATGGGAGAACTGACAAGGAACAACGTATTTTCGTTCGGATGGTATGAAAAACTGAGGTCTCGCGTTCATATTGGCGTGCACGTAAAAGAACCCTTAAGTTGGATTTCTATAAAAGACCAGACCGTAGTGCCGCTGTCCTGACACAATTTCCCTAAATCCCTAAAAGCATACTGTATAGCGTATAGCCTCGTTATTAACCCGGTCGGAGTAGGTCTCTTTAGTCTAGTGACTTGGTTTAGATTCCCCACTTGGCTGTTCTCCGGGCCTCACGGTTTCCGCACACTGCTAACCGCCTCTACGCGCAAGCGAATGATTGAAATAAAATTGAGCCAAATGTTACTCCCGAAGTGACCTAGTATATGTGTCAAGTTGACCTCTACCTCTCTCTCTCTCTCATAAACGTTAAGACTCCGAATTATTGAAATAAAATTGAACTATGTGTTAGTCCCGAAATGACCTAGTTTGTGTCGAGTGGACGTTAAACCCCATCCTCTCTCTCTCTCTCTCTCTCTCTCTCTCTCATAAACGTTAAGACTCCGAATCTAAAAAAATAAATAAAATAAAAAAACTGCCCGGCTTGTGTATTCTTTGTATGACGTTTAATTATATAAGTAATTGGAGAGGTAATACGAATATGTAATGTAGACCAGGTATGTAAATTGATTGGTCAATATTTTGTAGAGTTTAATGTATTTGAAGTTGTGTAGATTATGCTGTTGTAAGGACATTAAGTGTAGAGTACTTATTGACACGGTGGTATTATAATGGTGTGCTGGAAAACGTGTAACGTCAAATAGGTAAATATAATTTGTTTAAAGTAACGGTGCATGATTTTCGGAAAATATTAAATTTCTCACGGCTTAATCCACACTAATATGTAATGTTTATTTACCATTTAATTAAAGATACACTATGCGGAGATTAAATAAAAAGTTGGCAGTTCCCACTATAATAGTTAAAAACAAGATCATGTAAAGGGAATTTGCTGAAAATTTCAGTGAAATTGCTCCACTCTGAACAGAGATATTAGCTATTGAATTTTAGGCCTAGCCTCGATCATCATTATTAAAGTCGGTACATAGTCTCGATTATCCATTTTTGATTTAATCATCAATGAGCGTTGAGCAATCCAGTAAATATCGCAGGCTAACTATGCCATCGAGAGTCGATTATATGGTCTGGATAAGTTTAGTTAATTAATGTTTAATTCATAATTTCGATAACATTTCAGACCTAAAGAAAGACCTGCATTAGGCAGATTTAGCTCTTGCATAATGTATGTTTAAGAGAAAAAAATCAAAATATCAACGCTAGATAAGATTCAATCGGATTAAAAACAGACCGATCAATTAAATTTCCCGAACACGTTACGATGGCGGCGGACGTATAATACCATGACGTCATTCGACAATAAACATGCTTGTATTTTGTAACCGTTAAACGGCGGAAAGTTCAACTTTGAAGAAATATAGACCTGTTTTGTGGATAGATAATGTAAAACGAGAAGAGAGAAACTACAAAAAGTAAAGTGTGTCATTGCTATTATTAGACATTCAACTTTTACCATTGTTGTAGTTTACAAGTGATATCTTTATCAAGTCACGGCGGTCAGGTACTCGAAAGGGGCATGATTATATGCCTGAATTCCTTGTAAGCTCTATCCATGTTTTAATTTAATGTAGAAATCAAATGGACGACAATGTGTAGAAATTGTGCCAAATAAAATACTGTTGGATAGTGGCATTTAGGCTTGCTTACCATGGGGTCCAGGGTTCGACCTCGGTCGGTGTTGGCCAAGATCCACGGGATTTCCCAGTCTGGTTTTCCCTTGTTGGTGGTGCAGGAGATCGGTCTATAACAAGGAATAGCACCTAATCGATTTGGTGGGACAAAGTGACAAGATCCCTTCTACACATTGGCAAAATTCCAATCTTAATGCACTGCATGGCGTATGTCCGCCTTCATTAACTTAAAAAATAAACAGCACATTATTATTTAAAGAGACGGTTATCACACGAACAGTGAAATGGCCGATAAGAATATAATATACATACATTGTACTATACTTCAATCTTTTTATGAGACTAGTGTTCTCTCGTTGCGATATATATCTGCTCTGTAAACTGTCCGATATCGGTAATTTAAAAGTGTGCATCACGAACTTTTCGCTATATATAGACATAACGGGATATCTTTTATTTATAATGAACATTGCTTGCATGGTAACGTTTAAAGATAGCACGCATACACGACATGGCAAGAGTTTGCCCGGTTAGTGGAATTGTTACGTTTCTTCTGATGTTGTTAAATTTCAACTCAGGGGACGTTACTCCATTCTAAATACCCAAGGGAGGTTACTCTTTTCTAACATGCCGTGGGCGTCAAATGGATACTTTTAAAAGCAAATAACGGAGGACATATATTTATGAAATGAATCTTTAAGGTTACTATCTCTTTAGATCACGATACCCCCTCAAATGTATATCGGAATGATCTAACCTTGTACATTAAAGTGGGTGTGTGGGTGTAGGCCTATGCTAGATTAATTAATTCATCAGAGCGGAATTTATGCACGTGTGGGTATGATATACGTGATGTAATTAATGTATTAGTAAGATAAAACAATAATTATCTCGCTACAATTCTTTCACTTGTGCATATTTAAAGGGGCTAAATCTGTATTCTTTGGAAACTAGAAATGGGCACGAATGGGTCGCAACTTATTTTGTTTCAGTTTTTTTTATTGTAATTTCTACTCAATTATGTTCGGCGAAATACGCGAGGAGTCCAAATTGAAGGGCAGTCTTTGGAGCCCGGTATTTTAGTCTACATTGGTAGTATTCTCCTGTGGGATATGTTTAGCCTCGTTCATAAAGTCGCTTCATTACAAATGGCCAATTTTAAAATTCCCATCTTGTCTTAAATATTGGATATCAGAAGCCCATCTTTTCACGTAAGATAGCAACATCAATGTTTATTTAAATTGACCAAAGAGTCGTGTTTGCGATTTCGACGACTGTAGATGATGAATGATATTGAGTTAGTGACTTGCCTTCTGCAAAGTAGCAATATTAGCAATTCATAAAACAAATCATCTCCAGTGTAAAATTATAATATGAAATGAAATGGGGTTTAACGTCCTACTGTTCTGCTCCTAAACTGGGCTAATGAAGACGGGCATACGCCATACAGTGTGCTGAGGGAAATTTTGGCCGGGCAGCGCCGCTACGGCCTACTCTTATTATATCGAATTCCAACTGCCAAGGGATCTTTTACGTGCACGCCAATGTGTACACGTGACCTCGGTTTTCCGTCCCATCCGAACGACTAGACAGCTGTCCTTGTCAGGCCCTCCGTCCTGCATCACTGACAAGGGGGGACCACGCCGGAAAATCTGGATGAACTTTCTCGGCCAATGCAGGGATCGAACACCCGACCTCCTGGCTAGCGAGCCAGCGTCTTACCCACTTAGCCATCGTGATCCCCGTAAAATTATATTATACGATCTATCATTGTATCCTATAAACCCCGACATTTCTCAAATGCATGATTTAATAAACTTAATCAAATTGCTTGACAACCTAAATTGCGTTTGGTTACTCGCCAATGATCTAGTTTTCAAAATTGTGCCCCTCGATAAAAATTATCTCCAAATATAGGCCTATCGTTAATTATGCCAAGTGGTCTGTCTCATTCGACGTCAACGGGACCTTGTAGGATTTCAACAGAATATGGCCATAGGGATAGGTCATGGGCGACTTGAGTGGACAAATTTGAGAAGGGTATATGAAATACAAAATAAATCACATTTTATATATCTATGATTTCAGACCAACTTTATTATGTTTGTTACAAACAAATAATTTGAACTGAAAATCGCAACAAATTCCAATAGAAAAATACAAATCTTATGTTTTTGTTCAAATAAATAACAACTCTGAAAATATGTACAATCTATGATATAAACAAGTCAAACATACTCAAGCAATATGTAATATGAAAAAGACTATAGATATAGATGTAATTCTATTGACACACAGTGAAAACAATGGATCACAGTTCATACCAGTATATTTATTATCTTGAGAAATAAGCACTTCAAAATATCACATTCTAGAAAAAATAATTATCAGGTCTGTTACTATACAAAATACTGGCTTACCGAATGCTGTACACATTTAGCACATTTTAATAATACAAATACTGTTTAATAGAATTAAATACTGTTTGTAAATTCTAGATGCACTAATAGATTTAACTACTAACACATATATAGGATATATTCTATACCAAAACACACCAAAGTGCAGTAGAATTTAACATTAATCCTATGAGCACTCTAACGGAATTATGTTCAGGGTCCTGTTTTTCGAAATCTTAACTAAAAGATAAATTCCAAATTTTAGGAGATATTTCAATTTTGATTGGCTAAGCACTAAAATCAATCTAATATTACCCAATCAAATTACTCAAATTTGGATTTTATCTTAGTTAAAATTTCGTGAAACAGGCCCCTGTTTATAATTAATAAGTCTTGAACTTTTTAAAATATCATTGGGAAGAAATGACACTTCAAAAAAGTCTAGCAGAATTTAACATTAACATTTTAAACACTTCAAAGCAATTTAAATTATTCAACTTTTTCAAATAGCATTTATGGAGAAATGTCACTTCAAAATTCAAACAAGAAAGTGCAGTAGATTTTAACTTTAACCCTTTGAGCTCTTCAACATAATTTAAATTTTTGAACTTTCTGAAATATCATTTGTAGAGAAATGTCACTTCAAACCCAAGTGCCATAGACTTCAACGTAATTATATTAAATACTTCTGAAACTTTCTAAATACATGTAAATACATATCATTGGAGAGAAACGGAATTCCAAATTGGATGAATGTTTAACACAACGGAATTAATATCATATAGAAGGGGGGAATGTTGTTTACAAACTGGCCTTTCATAGATAATTTATTACTGGTACTTTATTGGATAATGGGACGGAATGTTACATACACTGTCACGTTTTCAAGAATGGAATTCACAAACAGTGTGATCATTTAATGAGTGTTACATACATACAGATTAATGAAGGAAGGTGTGTGTCACGTGACACACAATCACGTGACACACACAATCTCATTGATTAATGGCGATAGATCTCATTCAAACACTTTTCAAAATGTCTTCAACGAGAATAATCTGTGATAGATGGATCAATAAATCTTTCAGGAAAATGACAAAATGATTAAATGTATTATGCAAACAAAAAATATACAATCACTAATCAACAATGGACGGAGTTGTGATTGGGCTCGGATTAATACATCACACGAATTCACAGTCGAACTCGTGGTTAACAATCCATGTGTGTACATGTACACAAAATGTCATCGATTTCTCCACAAGTTCACATGACTTTATGGATTAATGATATAATGTTTTATTCAAAACAAACAGGCATTCACCTCAAAAATGTGAAATCGGAACTGATTATATAGCGTCCATATCGCAATCTCATGAATATCACGTGATGTCCTTCAGGGCATTACCACATTATATCTTCAATAATAAAGCCAACGTTTCGTATTCTTTCACTGCTCAAGACATGACTGGGCATGATTTTCTAATACATTAATAGACAACATACTTAATCATTGCTTGCGACAACAAATAGATCGCCACACTAGCTTTTATTAAACACTGTCCTGTTATTGGTTTTTATATCTTGATGTTGGGAAACACTCATATTTTTATGAAAGTAGTTATAAAGCACCTTTTGTATAATTATGAGTTTCACATGTTATAAGGACTGGGTATATTATCAATGTCAAACAGGTTATCCATATCGAAAGCACTACCCACGTCATCCATTGCCGGGATCCATATTTGTTCACTTTCATAAACAGGCGATGATGAGTAAACTGGTGTATTAAGTCCATGATTTTGATGATGAGTGATATCCGCTAGTTTACCGGAATCTCCGCCAACATTTAAAGCTTCTTCCCACCAGTCAGGTGCTCGTATATTGTGTCCAGTAACGGTTAAATCTAAGGGGTTATCGCTAAATTGTTGGGAATTGGGTACACCGTTAGTAAAGTCAGCTTGAGCAAGAAGATCATCTAGACCCAGATCATCCGAGTTGGACTCAGAACTAGGGGGACTCATGGCTAAAATAGGACTAGCAGCATCATCTTCGTCTAATAATTGTTCGGTTTTGATTCGGACACCCCCTACCTCAATGTCTTGTTGTAAAATGGAGGTCCAATTAAAATCGGTTTTAATATCGGAGTGTTCTTGATCTTCTTCTTGGACACCAAAATAAAGTACACTACCATTAACTAGAACTTGATTTTCGTCATCTAGGTTTCCATTTAAGGCTGCGAACGTTTCTTCTTCACGTTTTATTCTTTTAGGGGCAGGAGCGGGACAACAATCTCGACTACCACGTCGTTTCTTAAAGATGCCATTTTCTATCATGTCACTGAATTCGGGGTTAATCCTCCAAAAACCCCCTTTTCCTGGTTCATCTTTACGACGGGGCACTTTTTCAAAACACTTATTTAGGGATAAATTATGTCGGATGGAATTCTGAAAAACATAACAGATGACAGCGATAATCAATAAAGTTATATAATGCTACAATAGATTATACGTTTAATTACAGCTATAGGTAAGTGGTAATGAGCTTGAAAAATGGTGGCCCATTAGCGTTATTATGGAGTACTTACAGCATGGGTTGACTCTTGTAACAAACAGATAACTAGAATTATGTAAAAGATCAACTACGGTTGTATTGTGTTATCAAGGATGAATTATTCGCTTCACACATCTATTCACAATAATCATCCAAAATATGTCTTCTATTAACCCTCTAATTCCACTGGAATGTGTTAATTCAAAACCATCTCCCAAATTTTATTTTAAATACTGTTCATACGTTATGTTTAGCTATGGGTCATTAAAGGTGTGTATTACGTCACTGAAAGATTATAATATGTTGCTCTCTGTGTAAGTAAATAATATTCAATAATTCCACCGATCTCCCATAAAACCATTCCTCAAATTTAATTTTAAATATATTCATAGGTGATGTTTAGCTATGGTTCATTAAAGGTGTGTATTACGTCATTGAAATATTATTATATGTTGCTCTCTGGGGTATGTTTATTCTTTCTATGTAAGTAAATAATATTCAATAATTCCACCGATCTCCCATAAAACCATCCCTAAATTTTATTTTATTTATAGGTAATGTTTAGCTATGGGTTATTAAAAGTGTGTATTTCGTCATTGAAAGATTATTATATTATGTTGCTCTCTGGGGTGTGTATATTCTTTCTAATTCCACCGATCTCTCATAAAACCTAAAGGTCATGTGTATAACGTCATTGAAAGATGATATCTTGCTTTATGGGGCGTGAATATTGATACATATTTTTTGCATTGGAATACATTGGCTTATATTCAATAATTGCGTTGGTCTGTGTTGGGGGGACAAGAAAACATGCATATTACGTCAGAGAAATAAGGTATTGTTCCGCGAAGCGTAAATTTAAATACGTGTTATTTATTATTGTGCGTAGAGAATGTGTGCTCTGTACTATAAAACTATTCAATGTGATTTAATTAACACACCTTCTCCATGGTATAAATCAATTCAGTTCTTATACAATTGTGATCATTTATTCCCCTGTTTATACGATCCTTTATCGATCGCCCCCACCAAAACAATGAACATTCCAGTTCTAGTTAATTATGTGTCTGTGCAAGTATCTTACACGAGAAGTGGTCTTCAAGGAATGTCTTACAATCATTATTGAATTTAGCACGAGTTGAAATCAAGTACACCCCGAGTTCGAATTACTTACATAGCATCACGTCAGTGTAGGTGTAACATAGATACAATAAGCATCAGGTAACATAAGCCTTCACTTGATCACTTAATCAACCTTGGACGTCATGTCAATTACGTTATAACAAGAACGGGACCAATTTAGACCGAGATGAACAGATGTGGTCATCAATAAAATATATAACTAAGAGTGTGGATTAGCCAGCTGTAGAAATCTATATGCGTTTACACAGGATTTAGCCATCGAAAGTGGCAGATCTTGATTTTCCATAAGGAAGTTTGAGCCATTAAAAGGATATTTGATTGAATTGAACATCAGTCGAGATCTGGTGAGATATTATCACCACCTGATCCTACTTGTTGTCCACCTTACCTAAACCACTATGTCATATAAAGATGCATTATGTTAAGATAACAAGAAAAAGCTGACCGTTCTTGCTATAATAGTTTAAAAACAGATAATGAAAAATGAATATGTTGAAAATGTCATTTAAAGTGCTTTATTCTTAGCGACGTTATCACTGTTTGAAATTTTGACTAGAAATAGCGTGAATAGTCTCGATTGTCAAGTACCATTTCTACGATAATTAACAAAGTTCCGATTTTCCATTTGAACGTTTAACAAAGACATAAGACATACTGTTTCTAATCCACTAAATATCTCTGTCATCCGATGATCTAGAGAGCTGATGTTGGCATTTAATGTGAATACGTGTCTAAATGATAATTCATATAACATTTGAAGCTAGAAAAAAGACCTGCAATAGGTATATTTAGCTCTTGCATAATGCGTCTTTAAAATTTAAGTGGACGTCTATTGAAATTAGAATAAGTTATATAGAACTAACCTGCCAGCTAGGATCCGCCATTCTGTAATACATGAAGTTATCGGTGATCCAATTGTAAATTGCTGATAAAGTGATCTTATTTTTCTTCGTCTCCTTCATGGCCATGCAGATAAGAGTTGCGTAGGAATACGGAGGTTTTACATACGGGTTATTCTTGTAATCGATGTTATCTTGGGCATACCCGTTGTTGAAGGACGTTACCTCGTTGTAATTTAATCGCGAGTCTAGCTTTGGTGGTTGAATTGTAGTCAATTGAGGAAACATGTTCTTGACTACCACTGTTTCTTGGGGAATGGGACTGGGAGGGGGAGTTGGGGCACCGGTGCCAATCTTCATGATATTTAAATTCTGTAACCAGCTCAGGCTCGTGAGACTGTCGTCCAGGTTGACTCCACCATTACTGCAGGTATCTAGGGGGTTCTTGGCCAACCAATTCTGGCGCAGTCGTTTTGCGAGAACATCTCTGGAAACGGCCGGCATCTTGTTCTTGGCGCGTTGGGTAGTTTTTACATGAATTGGCAGATGCATAGAGGCTGTAAAGCAATAATAAACAGGGGTAAAATTCAATTATAAATAATTCGATGTACTGTCTAGAAGGTCATTAATAATTAACGAAGAAGAAATCAAGGGCTAATTTTGCGTGACCTAATGAAAACAGATGCACGTCAATAATACATGCTATACATAGTCAAAGCGCCATAAAATTAGTAGGCTTTACTTCACTAGTATACTGGTCTTTAATCTGATCATTTATTGATAGTAGGGCTTGACTTCACAATATTTAAACTGTAGGAAAACCCATCTCAATTGAAGATGCCGTCCGTCAATCTGATAACCACCACTGATAAGGGTTATCATTTGGTAACTACTGTAAATATTATAAATACACAGTTAAAAAAAACACCAATCTGTTGATGTTTATAGTAAGGATCACTATGGTCTCAAGCTATATATAGGCCAATATAATTGCATAAACATTGTAAGAGAGAGAGAGAGAGAGAGAGAGAAGAGAGAGATTAACGTCCACTCGACACACACTAGGTCATTTCGGGACTAACATATGGTTCAATTTTATTTCAATAATCCGCTTGCGCGCAAGGGTCTTTAGCAGTGGGGGGGGCAAACCGGGGGACCCGGAGAAAACCCACAAGGTTGGACAGGCGACCCTACTCCTTGTCACTTACATGTATACATGTAAAATGCAATTAAACATTTTTAAAATAAACATTTTTAAAAATGTACACTATATATTGTATGTCCATTGAGTTAAATATGTACCAATTTAATCCATTCATTCAATCATATTAAACACGCCGGATTAAAAATTCCAAATAAATGAACATCTTTAGATTAACAGTAAAATAAATCATACTTAACAGCCACTAAAATAATCCTTCAGGTCGCCAATCATAAATCTATGGCAATCAATGGGGCATATCATTAAATACCAAACCCCCACAAAAACGGTGTAGTATTTCATTAAACCCCCCTTAATAACAACAGGTCGTGACATATACTTTATATATATATACTATAGGTCACATATAGATCTATGACCTATGCCTGCAGTGTTACGTACAATACACTTCTATCAGTATGCGTTTGGACATGTAGAACCATTTCGCGTCAAAATATTCATCTCTCGTACATTTAAAGTTCAAGAGACTAGCATCAAATTTAAATCACAGTTATTCACTAGACATAACGATCTATTGATCTGAGATGCAAATTAACACAATTCATATTATACTTACATAAACAAGATGAAATTCTTCAAGATGGGAAATTCCTTATATACATGCGTTAGGTCTTTGACAGATGACTAAAATCTGCTAAGATTCCATGCGACGGCAGCTATTAATGAAATCCTTCCCCAATATGATTGAATTATATGATGTTTTCTGTGATGGTTTCCCCTTTTTCGAGTGTTTTATATGTTTACTCGAAGCCGGGAGGTGGTTAACTGTATAAGCCGGTATGGCAATATAAATACCTATTCGTCCCGCAATTGATAGCAGCGTGTAGCAACAAGATAAACCGACATAAATAATAACCCTGTTGCTCATTGGCCAGCGTTGTTGATTCGGCCGCCAATGGCATCGAAGTAAATATCTATAGATGACTTTGACAAGAGGGTTACAAACGTCATAATCGCATTTCGTCAACAATAATTTGTGACGCATTAATCTAATTAAACAAACGACTTAATGACCAAACAGGTATATCGCATGAATGCTGTCAGTCTGATCAGTTTTTCCACCTGAGAAATCTAATAGTTTCTTATTGTCTGTAGGGTTGTGCACAGAGAATGGTCAATGAATGATTGGTTGTTTTTCATTCTATGGAAAGGCCAAATTAAATAGTCATAACTGGGATAGATTCGATTCTCATCTAAAACGTATAGTATGCCTTCTATTAGTAATAATAATAAATTCGTGTCGAAACATGCGATGGTTAAGACGTTAAGACGAAAATCAATCTATTAACCGAATTTTATAGTATTTCTATTAAATATTGCACGGCGAATAGTATAATTCAACGACAGTTTGACAAGAAGGGTTTTAGCCACGATGCCCTGGCAAAATGATATTGTCGTTGAATTTGTTAATTTGATTCCCAATTTTTTGTTCTTGTATGATTCTTGAATGAGACCTTCCATAATTAACATTTTATTTTAAATATCGAATCTCTGTGTCTAATCAGATATTCATTCTTTTTTAATTTATTGAATAAAAATATTGTTCAAACTACTATCTATTATTAACACTGTTCGTATAAAATACCCAGTTAGTTCCGTGGAATAAATACAACTTTTGATGGGATGGGGTGGGGTGGGGTGGGGTGGGCGGCTTTATGAAATGAATGACCAGTCTGAAAGTTGACAAGACTAAACGAAATACAAATAAAATCGTATTTGCTTTCTATATTTCTCCCATATTCCTACTTAGAAATGGAAATATTTTTCGTGGAAAATAAACTCTGTGTAAACAAATATGGCGGGGCGTCTATAATTAAAACGATCTGAGACATATAATTAGTATTTTATTAATTTGTGTAGGATGTACAAAAAAATCAAATCATGGTTATATAAAGAAATGAAATAGGGTCTAACGCCCTACTTATCTACACCAACTGAAGACAGGTAAACGCCATAGAATATGACAGGACAGAGGACCTGACAAGGGCAGTTGTCTAGTCGTTCGGATGGAACGAAACACCGGGAACCCGTGTATACATTGGCGTGCACGTAAACGATTCCTTGGCAGTTGGAATTCGATATATGAGTAGGCTATAATTATAGTGCCGCTGCCAGGGCAAAATTTCCCCCACAGCACACTGTACGGCGTATGCCAGCCTTCATTAGCCCAGTCGGAGCAGAACAGTAGGACGTTAAACCCCATTTCATTTCCATAGAATATGCTGTATTATGCGGGAAAAAATTGCTCCGAGTGCGGCGTTTCCGCGCGTACACTACACTCTGGTTTTTCGTCTCTCCCGTACGACTAGACCCTGTTCCTTGACATACTAGGCCCTCCGTCCTGCAACCCTGCAAATACCACAGGACCTCCTGGTTAGTCAGCTGGCGCATTACTCACCAAACCACCGTGACTCTCAGATATTTAAAAGAATTGAACCGCCATTTCTAAAGCAAATTCAGACAAGTGCAGACACCCGATTATAAGATAGCTGGGTGGGTCTACGTGCTTTGTAAACCTATTTAATAATAGGCTCTGATATAATACTAAGATAAAGGGTTTATTATTAGAGCTTTCCGAGATTTAATATCAACCTTCAAGTGCACTGTACATTAAAAGAGAAATAGATATAGACATAATGAGATCTCTATTAATCTTATATTAACCCGTCCTGAAGAAATAGTCTCAACATTATTAATATAATCCATGTTTCTATTATCATTATTTAAAAAAAACCTAATGAAAACTAATGGAGCGATTTTATACGTTAAGTGTTCGAAGGTTGACAGGAAACTACATTACATAACACTAATATTATTATAAGAAAAAAAAAAATTAATGAAAACTAATAGAGCGATTTCATACGTTAAGTGTTCGAAGGTTAACGTGATTACATGAAACTACTACTATTATTATTTTAAAAAAACCTAATGAAAACTAATGGAGCGATTTCATACGTTAAGTGTTCGAAGGTTAACGGGATTACATGAAACTACTTATACTGTAATATATTATTATACTAATACGTTTAATACACCCGGCTTGAAAATTGCTAATATGTCAAACAAACAAATTAATCAGATTTATTTAATATTTATTACTTATTAATAACGCGCCTACACATATTTTAATAGCCGTTTCTACGCCTCATTGGGCAAGACCTCGACGGCGCAAAACGGTACAGCTTGCGCGCGGTTAGATCGGCGAATGGGTCACCGCATGCCGCAAAAAAAGGAGGTAAATTTGTTATATCTATAAAGTTAACTTCCATTGATATTGTTATTGATTTTTATTGATTGTTTATATAATAAAATCCAACAATAGTAATACAATATGAACAATAATAACAACAACCAACAATAGATGTTTTATGCCTACTATTTCATTTATCAATAAATAACAAATACTACCTTACATACTTATTACTGACTTTGTTGTACTTATATATAATATAAATGCATTGTTAATATGTCACAGTATGCAAATACACCCCATATGAAAACCCCTGAATAGCATAACTTTATCTGGTCAGCGATACCAAACATAAATAAATATAAACATTGTCATACGTGACTTTATTAACTCTGTAAGAAAAAGTGCAGAACACAAGATAATTCGGTCGAAGTTCCCCCTTAAAGTGCATTGCCTTGCAGCATGTCTTTTTTTTAAATCCCAAAAGCAAATATTATATCTTATGATCGGCTGATATTTATAGATTAAAGCATTAAGCCATGTCATATTGAGACATACCGGCCATTTTCACATTTTTTTCGCGATCTTGTCTCAGTCAATTACATATATCAGACTATTCAGGAAAACTTCAGAATCAAACATAGATAGAACAAACAGTACAAGAGGGCGAGAGGGCGAGAGAGGGGGAGAGAGAGAGAGAGAGAGAGAGAGAGAGAGAGAGAGAGAGTTTAAGTCAACTCGACACAAATTAGGTCATTTCGGGATTAACATATGATTCAATTTAATTTCAATAATTCGCTTGCGTGTAGGGGTCTTTAGCAGTGGGTGGAAACCGGGGGATCCGGAGAAAACTCACGAGGTTGAACAGGCGACCCTACCCCGTTTCACGTACAACCGGGGAATCGAAACCACGCCAGTTGACTCAATGACAGACCTTATGATACAACGCGCACTAGCTAACCATTCGGCAATCCAACCCCCCTGTTTCAGAAGAACTAAGAATGTTGCCTCGAGGGTCAATCAAAACGCAAATTTATTAAATCCGAGAAATTAGAGAGAGGCACAACTACTTTAACACGTTGATGTATGTACAAAGTTTCCTAAATATATCTTTGGAATTGCACTTAATAGAATGTTTATGGCCAATAAGACATATGGAATATTAGAACTGGTTCTCCTCGGAATGAATAGGTCGACCATAGAACCCGAGCGATGAATCATCAATGTCAATCTGGGCGGTGCAAATTTTTTTTACATGTATTTATTGCTCCATTCAATAACAATTTGTATAGAAGTATTTTATCATTTATTAATAAAGTTGAACAATTTAAAATACCATTCATGCTGTCATTATAAACCGAAACATGCATTTATATTACACGTTCTAAAAGTTCTATAATAATAAATCCATTCAAGATTTTTAAAAGACCGTTTAAACGGTCGAACTATACTTATTCAATGGTTTATCATATAAATATAATATATAAAGTATGAGCTTGTTGGTATTATGGGTATCGCGATCAAACAGGTATGTTATATCTATAATGAACAGAGTAAATAATACGCGTAAGATCAGTTTACCTACTGTAATTATCTTTCCTCGGCGGTCTAGACTTAAAAACATTACTATTAATTACAAAACATAATAAATTACCGGGGAATATACGTATATTATTATCTCTTTCTGGAAGTCCGAGGATAGCCGTCGGTTCCTAATCTTCAAATCGTTAATTTCTTTAATTATTTTGTGTGGGTTTATTAAACATACATTATGCAAGAGCTAAATCTGCCTATTGCAGGTCTTTCTTTAGGCCTGAAATGTTATATAAACTATTAACAAAACAAGACCATAATCGACTCTCGGTGGCATCGGATACTCGAGATTTTAACTAGATTAAAACGGTTCGCCATTTAAAAAATTTAATTTAAAAATGGGAAAGCGAGGCTAAGTCCCGATTATACCAGTGTCCTGGTTACTACTGTGCACACATCTTGTCAAAACTACAAACAACGATAACTTTGCTGAGAATGAAGTAATTTGAAAGAAATTTTCAATATTTTCTTTTTTTATCATCTATTTTTGAATTATTATAGCAAGAATGATCAACTCTTTATTAAACTCCTAACTAATGTATCTTTAAATAATTTTATTCCACAATTTGATTTTCCTGGGTCATTAGAAATATCATACGGCATGTATTTTCAGATAAAAATCAATTCAGACGGTCCTGCAATAGATAACCTAATTATGTTTGAGTGTAACGTCAAAGCAGAAAAGTACACATATTGTTCTTAGTCCCAATCCATCGCCAATCTGATTAAAATACAGATCTATATTTCGTTTCGTTTTATTATACTTTCGATGGCCAACACTACATGAAGATCTGACCGGTTGTACTAAAAGATCGCGTCAGAAGTCGTACGAACGGCTTTTGACCCTATGACGTCAGACATTGATTAATCAATCAGCGTTGACGGTTCTAGTGATTTACCCACAGTTCCTTGCATCACACGCCAAGAAATCGCCGTAATATATGGTTTCATTGGCTAATTCCTCACGCCATCTAGAACGCAGATTATATATTAGCTCTTCCAGATCCTAGTGTAGTACAGACAAATAAAACAAAAATTTGAA